GGACACAAGCTCAGGTCCGCCCTAACGTGCACGTACACGACTGCCCAGTTGCGCCTCATGCACACTAATCGTAAACTTGTTCTTCATGACCGTCAGAGCTACTCTTCAGCTAGTTCGCTTTCTCACGTGATTTCTCATTTCACCTGCAGTTGCAGTGACGTTTACATAGGCGGGACTAACCGTCGGTTGGCTCAGAGGGTGGCTGAGCACTTGCCAAAGTGTGTGGAACAAATGATGACGCAACAAACCGGAGCGCCCCCAGAATGAACCGGATTCCGTCATCATCTATCACCAAGCACCTCGTGACAACTGGTCAGAATGCGGACCCGCAAACTGCGTTCACAATGCTATTACGCGACCAGAACCCGATAATGTTGGCAATCAGTGAAGCGTTGCTAATTAGGGCCTATCAACCTGTGCTATGTGCACAGAAACTCTTGATTTTGAAGTTTTGATTGGTATGCCAGTTTCTTCCCATATATATATTTTTATATGTGTTTCTACTTGTATTGTGTATGCGACTGAGGAGAACAATCAAAATGTTGACATATCGCACTTCCTCGGCCTGGGCACCCTTCGAAAATCTCTGCCAACACAACACATTAACATTTTAAACTTCCAAATCCTATCACTAACTGCCCGTTTTTCCCCTTTTTGTTTTTGTTATCTATGTATTGTGGCGCTGCCAATTGCACATTGATCAAGTGTTGAATAATAAGTTTATAAGACTTATCACAGTCTATGATTTCTCTCTGCTTTGATCTTTTTGAAAGCATTACTTGGCTTATTGTATGGTCAAGTTTGGATTACACGTTGTGTGATTGGATTGCGATACGCAACCTCAATTTAATGGACTGTGATTCATATTGAAATGAACCTTAGTCACTGCGATCGCTGGGACCGTATTCAAAGTAGATGGAAATTGGGTATTGCCCACCCGAAAACACTGCACAGCCACGACGCGTTTCGATGTAATTTAATCTCATCAGGTGGAGACAGCAGGATTTGAACCCATGACAAAATGTGTTGCCCATCGTGACCCGGTAGCCAAAGGGGTAGTAGTGAACTCGAAACTACTGAGACCTGCTTGCCTCTGCTAGTTCAATGGTTCCGTGGGGTTGTGTGGGGTGGCGGGTAGCCGTGGGGTTGGTGGCCGGCGGACGTGGGGTGGGGACTATTTTTTTACTTTTGGTTGTTTCGTTGTTTCTCAAATCTGCTGTTGCTTTTTTTTTTTTTTTTTTTCATTCAAATCCTGCTGCTGTGTCTCTCTGTCTCTCACCTGTTGTGGATGTAGTATTTTGGTCTTTTGGAAAATGAAAAAGTTTACATCGCGAAAACGCGTCTGGCTGATGCATTGCAGTGTGTTTTTTCTTTCGGGGTGGGCAATACCGGCATGGCAAAACACCAAAAAAACCCAATTTCTATCTAACTTTGAATACGGTTCCCAAGAGTGACTAACTGCCCTTGTCTCCTGTTTTGCTGTGTTTTCGGCGTCCGCGGTAGTGGGCAACAATTTTCACCCAATTTCTTCTGCTTTGAATACGGTGCCCAAGTGTGCAGGTGATCGCGGGTGACCTACTGGTCATTATCAATGTGAATCCTCAGTCCATTAAATTTGAGGTTGCGTGTCGCACAATCCAATTCACACAGACGTGTAATCCACAACTTGACCTCCATTTAGTCAGTCTACCGTTGTGTCGAAATGCAATCTGCCCATCGTGACCGGGATAGCCCAAAGGGGGGGGTGGGGGGGGTGGGGGGGGGGGTGGGGTGGGTGGGGGGTGGGGGGGGGGGGTGGGGGGGGGGGGGGGTTGGGTGGGGGGGGGGGGTGTGGTGGGGGGTGGGGTGGGTGGGGGGGGGGGGGGGGGGGGGGGTGGGGTGGGGTGGGGGGGGTGTGGGTTGGGTGGTGGTGGGGGGTGGGGGGGGGGGGGGGTGGGGGGTGGGGGGTTGGGTGGTTGGGGGGTGGGGTGGTGGGGGTGGGGGGGTGGGGGGTGGGGTTGGGGGGGGGGGGGGGGGGGGGGGGGGGGGGGGGGGGGGGGGGGGGGGGGGGGGGGGGGGGGGGGGGGGGGGGGGGGGGGGGGGGGGGGGGGGGGGGGGGGGGGGGGGGGGGGGGGGGGGTGGGGGGGGGGGGGGGGGGGGGGGGGGGGGGGGGGGGGGGGGGGGGGGGGGGGGGGGGGGGGGGGGGGGGGGGGGGGGGGGGGGGGGGGGGGGGGGGGGGGGGGGGGGGGGGGGGGGGGGGGGGGGGGGGGGGGGGGGGGGGGGGGGGGGGGGGGGGGGGGGTGGGGGGGGGGGGGGGGGGGGGGGGGGGGGGGGGGGGGGGGGGGGGGGGGGGGGGGGGGGGGGGGGGGGGGGGGGGGGGGGGGGGGGGGGGGGGGGGGGGGGGGGGGGGGGGGGGGGGGGGGGGGGGGGGGGGGGGGGGGGGGGGGGGGGGGGGGGGGTGGGGGGGGGGGGGGGGGGGGGGGGGGGGGGGGGGGGGGGGGGGGGGGGGGGGGGGGGGGGGGGGGGGGGGGGCGGGGGGGGGGGGGGGGGGGGGGGGGGGGGGGGGGGGGGGGGGGGGGGGGGGGGGGGGGGGGGGGGGGGGGGGGGGGGGGGGGGGGGGGGGGGGGGGGGGGGGGGGGGGGGGGGGGGGGGGGGGGGGGGGGGGGGGGGGGGGGGGGGGGGGGGGGGGGGGGGGGGGGGGGGGGGGGGGGGGGGGGGGGGGGGGGGGGGGGGGGGGGGGGGGGGGGGGGGGGGGGGGGGGGGGGGGGGGGGGGGGGGGGGGGGGGGGGGGGGGGGGGGGGGGGGGGGGGGGGGGGGGGGGGGGGGGGGGGGGGGGGGGGGGGGGGGGGGGGGGGGGGGGGGGGGGGGGGGGGGGGGGGGGGGGGGGGGGGGGGGGGGGGGGGGGGGGGGGGGGGGGGGGGGGGGGGGGGGGGGGGGGGGGGGGGGGGGGGGGGGGGGGGGGGGGGGGGGGTGGGGGGGGGGGGGGGGGGGGGGGGGGGGGGGGGGGGGGGGGGGGGGGGGGGGGGGGGGGGGGGGGGGGGGGGGGGGGGGGGGGGGGGGGGGGGGGGGGGGGGGGGGGGGGGGGGGGGGGGGGGGGGGGGGGGGGGGGGGGGGGGGGGGGGGGGGGGGGGGGGGGGGGGGGGGGGGGGGGGGGGGGGGGGGGGGGGGGGGGGGGGGGGGGGGGGGGGGGGGGGGGGGGGGGGGGGGGGGGGGGGGGGGGGGGGGGGGGGGGGGGGGGGGGGGGGGGGGGGGGGGGGGGGGGGGGGGGGGGGGGGGGGGGGGGGGGGGGGGGGGGGGGGGGGGGGGGGGGGGGGGGGGGGGGGGGGGGGGGGGGGGGGGGGGGGGGGGGGGGGGGGGGGGGGGGGGGGGGGGGGGGGGGGGGGGGGGGGGGGGGGGGGGGGGGGGGGGGGGGGGGGGGGGGGGGGGGGGGGGGGGGGGGGGGGGGGGGGGGGGGGGGGGGGGGGGGGGGGGGGGGGGGGGGGGGGGGGGGGGGGGGGGGGGGGGGGGGGGGGGGGGGGGGGGGGGGGGGGGGGGGGGGGGGGGGGGGGGGGGGGGGGGGGGGGGGGGGGGGGGGGGGGGGGGGGGGGGGGGGGGGGGGGGGGGGGGGGGGGGGGGGGGGGGGGGGGGGGGGGGGGGGGGGGGGGGGGGGGGGGGGGGGGGGGGGGGGGGGGGGGGGGGGGGGGGGGGGGGGGGGGGGGGGGGGGGGGGGGGGGGGGGGGGGGGGGGGGGGGGGGGGGGGGGGGGGGGGGGGGGGGGGGGGGGGGGGGGGGGGGGGGGGGGGGGGGGGGGGGGGGGGGGGGGGGGGGGGGGGGGGGGGGGGGGGGGGGGGGGGGGGGGGGGGGGGGGGGGGGGGGGGGGGGGGGGGGGGGGGGGGGGGGGGGGGGGGGGGGGGGGGGGGGGGGGGGGGGGGGGGGGGGGGGGGGGGGGGGGGGGGGGGGGGGGGGGGGGGGGGGGGGGGGGGGGGTGGTTGTGTGTGGGTGTGGGGGGGGGGGGTGGGGGGGGGGGGGGGGGGGGTGGGGGGGGGGGGGGGGGGGGGGGGGGGGGGGGGGGGGGGGGGGGGGGGGGGGGGGGGGGGGGGGGGTGGGGGGGGGGGGGGGGGGGGGGGGGGGGGGGGGGGGGTAGGTTAGGTTATGGGGTAGTAGTGTTGGCTGCTATTCCAATGGTCGTGGGTTCAAATCCTGCTGTCTCCACCTGATGAGATGAAATTACATCGAAACGCGTCGTGGCTGTGCAGTGTTTTCGGGTGGGCAATACCCAATTTCCATTACTTGGCTTATTTTTGTATTATCGTACATTATAGTGACTCGTTTTCACTACGCCCGATAAACTTACTCTTGTCTGTCCCATATTTACGTGTGTTTATGTTGTGCTACTTCGTGTGCTGCATTTCTCTATTGGGTGCAACGAGACAGTGCACTGTCGCAAAACTCAGTCATTCAGGGACAAACGGTTTTATCAACGAAGGAAGCTCAGCGAAGATGGCAGGATAACAAGCATGTTGTAACCTCGGTGTAACTTACTGGGTCATTTCCATAACTAACGTCGCTTCTGCATTTATGAGATTCTTCCTTTGAATCAGTTAAACTAACCCGTTCCAGCGTAAGCAACCAAGAACCAATCAGTGCGTAGGCGAGATATGCGTAAGCGTACACTCTGCTGCTCTGTTCGCTTGCGACAAGCCATCCGCCTGCATCGCCATGTAAATCCGCATCGTTTTTGTGCTTGCACAATCCCATAACACACTGGTGTGGCATCAATAGTACTGCGATGATAATTATAAAGTACGGCTTTTCCTTAGTTTCACCTCTTCCACTTGTCACGCATTTCGTAGTTTAAAATTCCTGAATCAGTCCTTTTCCGAGCCTTGCAACCAGCTCCCACGAGTCTAGTTGTTGCACTTAGTAGTGAAAGACCACCGGTGTGATACTGGACCTTAATGTGGTGCGATAGTTTGTGTACCTCCGTGACCATTGAGCTACGCTGGATGACACTTTTTAAACGCCTTCAGAGCCACTCATTCCGAACAGATTAATAGTTCGAAAAGGTCGTCGGCCGTCTTCCTTTAAAATCTAGCCATGTTAGACAACCGATTTATGGCTCGGTTGGCATAGAACACAAGCGTCACGCATTCTCTGACACTGGATGAGCACCGACCGGTGCTCAGTCAGCTCACCGAGTTGATACAAATCAATGTTGCTGATCCCGACAACCTTCCTCTATCTTTGCTGAAAGATGAGGTATCTCTTTGTTGACTGAACTTGCTGCTCTCTTCAGCAGGTGTTGGGTCACTGAAGAGTTGTCTACAGAATGGCGACTGCAAACTATCGTGCCCATCTTCAAAAAGGATCCGTGTGCGAAAATCGTTTAGACATTAGTCCTGTTTCCATCGCCGATCTTTACACTGATCTTCATGAGATCCGAATAACTGAACACCTGACTTGATTCCGCCCTGGTCTTGGATGCATCGACCATCTATTTACTCTGTGTCAAGTGTTCGAGTAGATACACGCTTACTGACGATCGATCATGATAGTTTTCCTTGACTTGAAAGCCGACTTCGACCCGGTTGATCGCACTAGGTTGTGGCACTGCCTATTCATGAATCCATGCCAGCTGAATTCCCTGCTGTTCTGAAATCTCTTAACCGTGAGTCCCAAGGTCATGTAACAGTCTACGAGATGGTATCACTTGAGTTCTCCAAGCCAATTGAAGTTCGCCAGGATTGTCCTGTATCTCCTTTCCTCTCCAACTTTGTGATCAAAATGGTCATGAATGACTCGGTCCTTTCAGACTACCGGAGAGGAAGCTCTGCTGAGTGACTGATTACCAGACCTTAAGTATGCGGACGACAAGGCTATCTTAAGATTGATGTAGTGACTATGCAAACACTGCTGGATAGACTGGCGTTTAGCCGTGCACGCTTCAGCATGTGCCTTACACCTTTATACTGCAAATTTCTGTTGCACGACTGAACCGATAGGCCACCGGGTCTAGCCACTGGAAATGGTTGATCGGTTTACTCACCTTGGTACTTGCGTTATCTCTATTGGTGATATCACTGAAGATGTTCCTTCGCGTACCAGCAAGGTCCGTGGGGCTTTTCAGAGGTTCAGTCATGTGTGTAGACAGTGTGATATCAGCTTGTAAGTGAAAGACAGGGTGTATAGCACTGCGATAAGGCCGATGTTACTGTATGGATCTGAGACTAGGCCAATTCGCGGCGAAGACATTAATTACTTGACCGTGTTTGACCACGGATACTCGCGGATTATTGCTCACATCTGATGGGAACACCGGGCGATCACTGCTGAAGTCCGCCAGTAAGAAGCCTGGTGTTTCACTCGATTGTTTGCTGAACCTTACTCGTTTACGCCGGTTAGACCCTATTCTACGTATGTCTGTTGATCGACTTCCTCGGCGTGTATCATACGCGGTGGGTGCACCATGTTGGACGAAAGCGCGAAGTGGTCAGTCCACGATGTGGCATAGAAACTTGAGGAAATTGATTGAGAGACAGTCTGGTGAGTGCGTGCCGTTTTCTTGGATGGGTGTCTCTGAATAATCCACACCAATGGAAGGATACCCTTTCACACTTGGCGCAATCACGCAGTCAGTGGCGTACCAGCATTCGTTTTCTTGCATCTGGTTAATTTTAGCTCCATCATGACTAGTCTAACGCATTTTCTTCTTGCTTACCTTTTTTCTACATTTTATTTGTGCCCAACCCCACTGTTTTACCATTGTTATTCATTATTATTCTAGCGACGTGAATCGCCGCAACTAGATCCACCGCCCTTCGGTGCCCGGATTATCATTGTTCAGCTGAACTGAATTGAATCACAAATGAAAGAAATGTGCGGAAGCGCCGAGCTCATACATTGATCAAATATCTGGCCAATATTTTTTCTGCGAACATCTGCAGCTATAAAGCAATTCTTCGACCATACCTCTTTTCTTTTCTTGTTGTTCTCTCCTACTCTTCCTCTTCTCCGTCTATTGAGCAAGAGACTACCACTGACCTCGCAGTTGCTGCCATTGATACATACAGCTCTTCCATCAAACTTAGCATTTTATTTCACTTTGGTTCCCTTAGCTTCCACATTCTAGGTCAGATCGGATAGCAAGCAACACTGACTCTTACTCTTCATTCTCTTTGGTATTAATATGTGCTGTGTCTCCATAACACGCATGAAAGATAACAACGTTGTGACGAATCTTCGACTCTCTGGTTTTGAATCTGACGACCATGACTGCACTCTTCGCGTCTCTGGCGATACCGGGTCAATGACTTAAGGTATTTATGGTGTTCGTATTACCCTCAGCAAACATGCGGAAGGTAATCTACTTGACCGGATACCGGTGAACAGCCGCATGTTTGCGGTTCGATTTCGAACCTCTATTGGACTTAATAAGCAGTGCCTGTAGATAAGGTGCATTTTCATCACTTCAGTTTACGCCCCTACTGAATGCAGTTCAGAGGATATCAAAGACGATTTCTATCGATAGCTCTCATCTCTTCTTTGCATGCCGAAGAATACCGACATCGTAATCACTGCTGGTGTAATAATTGCCCAAGTGACTCGTCTCTCAGACTCTGAACAGCACTTGGGAGGGCGCCTTGGAGTCGATACACACTGAACTGATAATGGTGATGGATTCCAGCAACTGTTTGCCAACCACAATCTTTATAGTAGCAGCACTGCTTTCCAGCACAAACGTTCACACCGCGTCATCTGGCGCCCAGCGAATTCCTCCATGACCTGAACCCAAATTGACCCTATTGCAATCAGCAACAGATGGCGCATATCAGTCTAAGACTGTCGGTAAATTCGGAACATGCCTAATTTCAGACCATGCTTTAGTGCGCGCACGTCTGACGCTCACTCTTTTCGCTCCAAAGAAGCGTTTATCTTCCAACCTTAACTTGAACTCGAAAAATATACACTTTAACAGTATCATGACGAAGTGGCCCATCAATCGTCAGTGATAAATGACGTTGGTGAACCGAACACTGACTGGAATCGTCTCAAATATGCCATGAAGAATGCCTTTGACCCATGCTGTGCACCCAACTTGAGAAGTCGTAACTGCTAATAGATCTCTGAGGCATCCATCACCTTGATCGAAGCACGGAAACAGGTTCCGATGGGCAATGAGTATCAGTGTCCGTAACTCTCCGAAATGACCCATCACAAGGAGTCTTCAAATCGACCGGGAACCTTGGTAGGTGGAAAGAACCCGTGCGATAGAGAAAACCAGTGTTGTTGTGAACATCCGAGTTCTCTTCCCGCTTTTCCGGAACACGAGTCCAAGAAAGCGATCCGTTAGCGAAACATTAGCTGAGAAAAACGGGCAGCGTCGTCGACTAGCCCGTTGGGCAGAACATTTTGAGGAGCAGTTCGGGAGGCCTACTGCAACATTACGTATATATATATATATATATATATATTCGCATTTGTCTATAAATAGACATTGAGCCATCGAAAAATCATAAGGAATAAAATGAAAAGTACAAATATCAGAAACGGAACAAATATTTTTGGCTCTTTGTTTTTTTGTCTGTTTTCACACGCCATTTTGTTCTTTTTTGGCATTTTGAATGATAAAGCTCTTATCACATTGTTCAAAACATTTATATATTCAGTCCTTCCATTGATTCCGCTTTCGTTCCATATCGTCATGTGTGTTAAGCCATTGACAGTCTTCATCCTTGAGCTCCCAACCAGGAAGACGTACTGGGTCGATGATGGCGAAGCGGGAGGTCAGCGATTTCATGGTTCGCCGCCAAGTGGTTGGCTGGGATCCACCCCTTCTCTTCCAATTCAATCGCGTGCGAACAAATAAGGCGCTGCGTGGCAACCGCTCTCATGACCTACGTAGAACGTAGCGGACTCAACTCAATCGACGCATTGAGACAAGGCGATCCAGCGGTGGGCCCATGTTTCCCTAGACGCGACACCGAACTTCTTCGTTGCGAACCCGGTGCTGCCACCACACACGGGCTATCCGCCGCAAACATGTGTTGTCGAAGGCCGAAAGCCTACGCATGTCATCCACACGAACCGGTCAGGACTCATTTCCGTACAACAGGACCGCACGGACACAAGCGTTGTGGACCCTCC